GGGGGGGGGGGGGGGGACCTTGCGGAGACCCGGGCCGTGTGGGCTCTTCCCCTTGCTTAGCTGAAGCCTGGACATGACCAAAGGGAGTTACAACACAGAAAAGGAACCCTTGCGATCTGTACAGTTTACAACTTCCTAAGCCCATGGGCTCGCTCTGCCTTCTCCCCGAGAGTCCGCCCTGACATGTTCTCTCCTAGGCCCCAGCCCGAGCTGCTCTGCCCTGTTGTCAGAAGGCACAAGGCCAAGAATGATGGTTGCGTGTCCCACTGCCACATACTGAACGCTCTCAGCTTTCTTGTCCATCTCCATCCACATGTTTCATTCTATTTCAGCTCAGATTTTAAAAAAAGAGAACACAGGAGTGGGCAAAATTAGGTTTATAGTTATGAGTACATGAATCACAGAGTTTATTCTTGTATTATTATTCATACACTAGAGGCCCGGTGCACAAAACTTTGTGCACTTGGTGGGGGGGGGCATCCCTCAGTCCGGCCTATGCCCTCTCACAGTCTGGGACCCCTGGGTGAGGGGAGGATGGCTGTTTACAGCTGGTCACACCCCCTTCAGGGTTGGGGTCCCCACTGGGGTGCCTGGCCAGTCTGGGTGAAGGGCTGAGGGCCATTTTCGGGCTGGCTAAGCCCCCCAGCTGGGACCCTCACCACATGAGGGTGTGTCCAGTCTGGGTGAGGGGCTGATGGCTGTTTGCAGGCTGGCCACGGCCCCCAGCCACGCAAGCTCCCAGTAGAGGCTGGCTGGAAGCAGGTATTGGGATTTATTTAGCTTCTATAATTGAAACTTCGTTGCCATGAGCGGAGGCCATAGCCAGCTCAGGGCAGGGGGGAAGCTTGGCTTGCTCCATGGCCGGGGCAACCAAGCCTCCTGCTTGCTCCAGCTCTGTGGCTGCCAGCCACCATCTTGGTTGGGTTAATTTGCATACAGGCACTGTGATTGGCCCGTGGGCCTGGCTTAGGGCATAGCAAAGGTATGGTCAATTAGCATCTTCGTCTTTTATTATTGTATTATTTATTACTATTGTTAATCTGCTTTTGCCTGTCCCTGTCTGATTGCTCACTAACCAGTCAATGATGGGCCAACTTGGGGTCAAGGGCATCCTGTGTCAAGTTAGTGGGAGCCTTAAGGTCCCGCGGCCCCATGACTCTCTCAACAGAGCCCAAGGTCCAGACAGGTGTGTCTGTGAAGGTGAGCAGAGTGACAGGGCATGTTCACCATAGAGACAGGAGCCACAAGATGGCATCTGATTCCGTAGACAGGCTCCAGCGTGGGCTGGACCGGAGAAAGAGAAGCAACAACTGGTATTTATACATGACTTCCTTCTTGGACTCCTCGGGTGTCTGTGGTATCACTAAATTAAGTTCATTCTTGTCCCTGAGTTGCAGAGAGCACGGCATTTTCCTGCGGTGCAGTTGGGCACTTGGGTGGCCTCACTGGCATGAGATCCTCACTGCTAACCAGCCCTTTTGTCAAAGGTGCAAGTCACCCTCTGGTTTTGGGATCCATGTGCCAAAGGGGAGGAAGGTCAAAAGCACAGGCAGTGCAGAAATCAGGTCAATAAGCAAGTTCAAACAAGCCAGAGAATGTACCGGCAGCTAACTGAGCACATTAGACCGATGCAACAGAAGAAAGGAATCCCAGCCTCACCTCCCAACTCTTACGCCCTAGTCCTGGCACCACGCCCCATCTCTCTCCTGGGCTTCTACCCATCAGCGAGCCCCCCCGCCCCCCGAGCGAGCTGAGGAAAGAGTAGGAAAATGAGAATGAGTGGAACTGAAAGGGGGGCAGGAAAGGAAACCTGGGTGTAGAGGCCTGCGAGGCGATGAGCACAGGTGGCTGTTCAGGTGCTGGGAAACAGAATCTCGGGCAGGAGGATGAAAAGAGGACAAAGAGAGTCAGGGCGAAAAGACCGTGGCTGTCAATGGAGAGGGGACATTTGGCTACTCTGACTGGATGGGAATGAAAAGAAAGGGGAACGTTCCTCTAAAAGCTGTATGTCTAGCCCTACCTGGTTTGGCTCAGTGGATAGAGCGTCTGCCTGGGGACTGAAGGGTCCCGGGTTTGATTCCGGCCAAGGGCACATGCCTGGGTTGCAGGCTCGATCCCCGGTGGGGGGCAGCCAATCAATGATTCTCTCTCATCATTGATGTTTCTATCTCCCTCTCCCTTCCTGTATAAAATCAATAAAATATATAAATAAATAAATAAAAGCTGTACGTCTAAAAGAGGAAGGTGACTCATTGGCGAGTGTTTTGGGAAGCCTTGCTGGGAATTTCTATGCCTGTCCCACAGCCAGGCCACGCCAGAGTAGGCAACATGGGTTGCCATTCCTATCAGTATGGTCCCCATACAAAGCCCACTTGGCTGGATCGTCGCGGGTGTCCTAGGAAGCGTGGACACGGGCTCGATGAGATAAATAAGGGCGACTTTCCTGGGATAGCCGAGGGCTCCCGTGGGCAGCTCCTAGGACAGTGGTTTTTAAACCGGTGCCAGCTGCTCTAATCTCTAGAAAAAAGGCTCCAATCCAGGCCCCTGCTGGCCGGGGTTTATTTTTGTGGCGAACAGCTCAGGTTCCCCCGGGCCTTGCAAGCTGATAGGGTGCCTGAAGCCATCATGATTAGAATCAGGCTGATTAGAAATTTCTCAAAGAGATGATGCACTTGGCTCCTGAATATTTTATGTCCCATGTTGCCACAG